ACGCATCTCCTCTTCTGCTGGAGCCCCTCTCCACACAGGCACAGAGACCCTGGGTGAGCACCCGAGTTGTGAGAAGTAACCTCACAGGACCACTTAAAAGATAGTCTGAGGGCCAGCGCCATGGCTCACTAGGCTAATCCTCCGCCTTGTGGCGCCAGCACCTCGGGTTCTAGTCCCGGTCGGGGCGCCAGTTTCTGTCCCGGTTGCTCCTCTTCCAGCTCTCTGCTGTGGCCCAGGAGGGCAGTGAAGAATGGCCCCAGTGCTTGGGCCCTGCACCTGCATGGGAGGCCAGGAGGAAGCACCTGGCTCCTGGCTTCAGATTGGCGCAGCCTGCTGGCCGCAATGCACCAGCCGTGGTGGCCACTTTGGGGGGTGAACCAATGGAAAAAGGAAGACCTTTCTCTTTGTCTCTCTCTCTCTCACTGTCTAACTCTGCCTGTCAAAAACAAAAAAAAAAAAAAAAAAAGAGCTCTGAAACTCAGGAAGTGCTGCAAAAGGGAGACTTTGCTATTGACTGTGCAAGATCAGGTGCCTGGTGGGCCAGCATCACCCAGTGGCTTTCAGCAAGCTGTTTATATCCTAGCAGGTCCCTCCCTGGCTGAGCACTGCAGGGCTAGAATCTTCCCTACATCTGCTTCAGCTGTTGTGGCCAAGCCTTATAGCCTGATTGCCTAAGAACTTTCCAGGTGCATGTTACCTAGCTCTTAGGCTAACTAGGTACGTGTAACTTTACACACACCTGCAAGCGGTTATGCTAGCTAGCTGTCTACTCACAGCTAGACATCTTGCTTTGAAGATGAACCCGACTTTATTTTTTTAATTTATTTGACAGAGTTATAGACAGAGAGAGACAGAGAGAAAGGTCTTCCCTCCGTTGTTCACTCTCCAAATGGCCGCTATGGCTGGAGCTGCGCCGATCCAAAGCCAGGAGCCAGGTGCCTCCTCCTGGTCTCCCATGCGGGTGCAGGGGCCCAAGCACTTGGGCCATCCTCCACTGCCCTCCTGGGTCACCGCAGAGAGCTGGACCGGAAGAGGAGCAACCAGGACTAGAACTTGGTGCCCATATGAGATGCCGGCGCCGCAGGTGGAGGATTAACCAAGTGAGCCATGGTGCTGGCCCCCCGACTTTATTTCTCACACTGCTCACGGACATCCCACAAGGAAATGTTTCCACTCAAGAAATGGGGAAACTGAGGCCCACAGAGATCAACCAGTGCCCCAGCCACTGGCTGCATGGCTGGGAGACAGTGGAATCAGGATTTCATCCCAGCCGCATTTCTCACTCCTCTGACCAGTTCTGCACACAAAAGCCATACACTCAGGAGCTGGGCGCAGGAAGGCACCCAGGCAGAAGCAGGTGTTCCCAGTATGAGAACACCCCCAAACAGGTCAGAAGAATCGCTACAGAAGCCCTGAAACTGGGGGCAGGAGACAGGATGGAAAAATTTCACACAGCAAGCCACTGCACAATTCCTGGATTCCCCAGGGAGTAAAGGCAGTGCATCTCATAGTTTAGTTTTGTTTTAAAGATTGATTCACTTATCTGCAAGGCAGAGCAACAGAGAGATGTCTTCCACCTATTGATTCACTCCCCAAATGACTGAAACAGCCTTGTTTGGCTCAGGCCAAAGCTAGGAGGAGCCAGGAATGCCATCCTGGTCTCCCACATGGATGGTAGGGGCCCAAGTACTTGGCGCTATCTCCTGCTGCTTTATGTGCATTAGCAGGAAGCTGGACCAGAAGTGGGGTAGCTGGGACTCAAACCAGAGCTCAGATATGGGATGCAGGCATTGCAAGTGCTGGCTTAACCCACTGCACCACAGTGCAGCCCCAGCTCCTGTTGTCTGTGTGGGGTCTGCTCTCCAGAGGGCTTCCTACTGTCAGCTGAGTCTGTGCCAGGTCACTTCCCCTATTTCCCAGCTGTGCTACAAGCCTCAGTGAAGGCCCAGCAGGTGACATGATCAGATGGGCCCTCCCGCATACTGTCCAAGGGAAGGGCCTGTGGGCCACGGTGCCACCTATAATGCCAGCATTCCATATCAGAGCGTCAGACTCCTGGCTGCTCTGCTTCCAATTCAGCTCCCTGGGAAAACAGCAGAAGATGATCCAAGTACTTGAGTCCCTGCCATCCATGCGGGAGACCTGGATGGAGTACCAGGCTCCTGGCTTCGGCCTGGCCCAGCCCCCATCATTGTGGCCAGTTGGGAGTGAACCAGCAGATGGAAGATCTCTTTCTCTGTCGCTCTGCCTTTCAAATAAATCTTCAAAAAGAATTCAAGCTGGAAACACAGCGGTATACAGGAAAACAGAATTTATTTAAAGCAAAAGTATATATCAGGAGCCGGCGCTGTGGCTCACTAGGCTAATCCTCCGCCTAGCGGCGCCGGCACACCAGGTTCTAGTCCTGGTCGGGGCGCCGGGTTCTGTCCTGGTTGCCCCTCTTCCAGGCCAGCCCTCTGCTGTGGCCAGGGAGTGCAGTGGAGGATGGCCCAAGTGCTTGGGCTCTGCACCCCCATGGGAGACAGGAGAGGCTCCTGCCATCGGATCAGCGCGATCAGCGGGCCGCAGCGCCCATTGGAGGGTGACCCAACGGCAAAAGGAAGACCTTTCTCTCTCTCTCTCTCTCTCATTGTCCACTCTGCCTGTAAAAAAAAAAAAAAAATAAAAATAAAAAAAAATTAAAAAAAAATTTA